AGTTTAGTTCATTCACATTCAATGTTATTATTGATAGGTAAGGACTTACTCCTACCATTTTGTTATGTGTCTTCTGGTTGTGTCGTGGTCTTCTCTTCCTTTTTTCTTTTTCTGCCTGTCTTCCTCTAGTGAAGATGATTTTCCCTAGTGAGAGAATTTAGTTCTTACTTCTTATTTTTTGTGTATCCATTGCATGTTTTTGGTTTTAGTTTACCAGGAGGTTTGCAAATACTATCTTATAACACATTATTTTAACTTGATCACTTAACACTATTTGCATAAGTAAACAAACAAAAAGTAAACTAATAAAAATATGCCTTAACTTCATCCCCCAACTTTTAAACATTTTGTTGTGTCTACTTATATTTTATTGTACTGACTGTGTCTTGAAAATTTGTTGTAGTTTTTATTTTTGATTGGTTCATTGTTTAGTCTTCCTACTGAGGATAAAAGTAGTTTACTTACCACAGTGACGGCGTTATAATATTCTTTGTTTTTCTGTGTACTTACCATTACCAATAAGTTTTGTACCTTTGACTGATTATTTATTGCTCATTAATGACCTTTTCTTTTTGATTGAAGTACTCTCTTTAACATTTCTTGTGGGGTGGGTCTGGTATTGATGAAATCCCTCAGCTTTTGTTTGGGAAAGTCTTTATTTCTCGAAGGATATTTTTGCTAGATATCCCACTCTAGGGTAAAAGGTTTTCTTCCTTTCAGCACCTTAAATATGTCATGTCATGCTCTCCTGATCTTCTTGTGTTTGGATATGAATATCTTTCTCTAATTTTGGAAAGTTCTCTGTTATTATTTCTTTGAATAAACATTCTACCCTTATGTCTTTCTTTTTCACTTATTTAAGGTCAATAACTCTTAGATTTGCCCTTATGAGCCTATTTTCTGCATCCTGTAGGCATGCTTCATTGTTTTTTATTCTTTTTTCTTTTGTCTCCTCTGTATATTTTCAAATACCCTGTCTTCAAGGTCACTATTTCTTCTGCTTGATCCATTCTGCTATGAAATGACTGTGATGCATTCTTTAGTATACAAATTGCACTCTTCAGCTCCAGAAAATTTCCGCTTGACTCTTTAATTATTTTAATATCTTCGTTGAATTTATCTGATAGAATTCTGAATTCCTTCTCTGTGTTATTTTGAACTTGTTTGAGTTTCCTCAACACAGCTACTTTGAGTTCTTCATCTGAAAGGTCACATATCTCTGTTTATCCAGGATTGGTCCCTGGTGCCTTATTTAGTTCATTTGGTGAGGTCACATTTCTCCAGACAGTGTTGATGCCAGTTAGATATTCTTCAGTGTCTGGACATTGAAGAGTTAGGTATTTATTCTAGTCTTTTCTGTCTGAGCTTTTTTGTAGCCATCCTTCTCAGGGACGCCTTCTGGAAATTTGAAAAGACTTGGGTTTTGTGATCTAAGCTGTGTCTACTTTAAGGGGCACCCCAAGACCAGAAATGCTGTGATTCTTGATGACTTATAGAGGTATCACCTTGATGGTCTCAGTCCAGATATGGGAGAATTCTAAGTTACCAGGCAGAGATTTGTTCTCTTTCCTTACTTCCTTTCAAACATACAGAGTCTCCTGCTCCATTTTGAACCACGTAAACCTGGGGACGGAGTGAAACAAGCACCTCTGTAGCCACCACCACTATGACTGTGCTGGGTCATACCTGAAGCCAGCAAAGCACTGGCTCTCATGCAGGGCCTGCTGTAACCAGTCCCTGGCTACTGTGTATGATTTCTCAAGGACCTGGGGCTGAACAATCAGCAGGTGGCAAAGCCAGTCAGGTCTGTATCCTTCCTTTCAGGATGGCAAGGTCCCCCAAGCCCTGGGTGGGTCCAGAAATGCCATCTGGAGTCAGGAAGTAGAGCCAAAACCCTTAGAAATATATCTGGTATTTTATTGTATTACAGCTGAACTGGCACTAAAAACACAAGACACAGTCCTTACCACTCTTCCCTGTCCTTTCCAAAGGTACAGGAGCCTCACCGTATAGCCACCACCACCCCAGTCATGATGAGTACTTCCAGACTACCACTGATGTTCCCTTAAGGTCCAAGATCTCTTAAGTCTGCTTCTGGTGGATGCTGCCTAGGTGGGGACTCACCCTTCAGGGCACTGGGCTCCCCTCTGACCCTGGGCAGGTCCAGAAATGTCATCCAACAGTCAAGTCCTGGAATCGGGGACTCTAAATGTCTGTTTGGTGCTCTACCCACCATGGCAGTGTTGGTACCTAAGGTGCAAGACAAAGTCCCCTTTACTTTTCCCTCCGCTTTTCTCAACAAGAAGCAGTTTTGTCCCACAGCCACCATAGCTAGTAATGGGCTGAGTCTTACTTGCCAGCAAGTCTCAGAGGTTCACCCAAGACCCAAGATGTAGTACCCGGATATCTCTGCTGGTTATTTGGGGCCAAGGGCTCTTCAGTTAGCAGGTGATGAATGCTGGTAGGTCTACATCCTTTTCTTCAAGGCAGCGAGTTCCCTTCTGGCCCAGGGTGTGTCTAGAAATGTCATCTGGGAGCTAGGGCCTGGAATGGGGACTTCATGACTCTGACTGGTGCCCTATCCTGCTGTGGCTGAGCTGGTATCCAAGAGGCAACACAAAGTCCTCACCATTCTTCCCCCTCTTCTCCCAAGTGGAAGAAAGGGGTCTCTTTTACAACCATAAGCTGTGCAGCCTGGTTTAGGGGAGAGGTGATGCCAGCACTCCCTTGATTACCCAAGCTGATGTCTCAGTATGGAGTTGCCTAAGAGTTGCAGTTCTTAAGACCTAGACTGCCTTTCAAATTTACTTGGAGATACAGAATACTGTAGCCCTCTGTGGTGAAGTTTGCAGGCACTCAGTTTCTGACTGCTGGGATCTGCAATTCCCTCTCTGGCTAGGCCTGGTTTAAATATTCCCTGTGTGACTGGGCATCAGCTGAGTTAGGTCTGGTTTTCATTTCTGCTCTAGCAGGACAGCACTGAGTTTAATACCTCACAATTAGTGTATTCTCCCTTCCCCAGAGCCCAGAGATGCTCTCCATTACCAGGCCATTGCTGGTGGGGGTTGAAAGGGATAGTGACAGTGATTCAGGATTTTTTTTCTATTTCTTCAGTGGTATTTTCAGCAATATAAAGTTAAATCCAGGTACTATAGGTACTCACCTTATTTGTAGTTCTTATGAAGGTGGTTTTTTTTGTTTTTTGTTTTTTTTTTTTTTGGTATGTAGATAGTTGTTAACTTAGTATCCTTGCAGGTGGGACTATGTCCTTGCAGGGGGATGTGGAGCCTTCTGTTCCACCATCTTGCTCAGCCTCCCAATTCAGTTGTTACATATTTCTCAAGGCCCTCTATTGTCTGGGTTTTTTTCTCTTTAACATCTTTCAAAACAACCTTACCTTTTTTATACAACTTCTTCTAGGTTTTTAAACTCTCCTCCCTTTTTTCCCTTTTCTCTCCCTCTCCCTCTCCCTCTCCATTTCATCCAGAAATTTAATGTTCACATGTATTTCCATCAAACTTTCTTTGTTAGTACACTATCAGGTCTCTGGCCTGTTCATTTATCCTTTTGTCATGGAAATCTCCCTTCCTGCCCTGCCCAAGTTATAGTAGTTCTCATTCCAATATGCTGTCAGACGAAGCTGGACATCATCATTAACGTCACCTGTATCTGTCTGCCTGTATCCCTTGCTCCTAAGCACACACCATGATTCTGTTAATGAATGTAAAAATGGTATTTCCTCTGCCTGAAAGTGCATTGCATCATCCTCCATCTACCATTCCCACCTTTATCCAGCTAAATCTTCATAATCCTTCAATATTTATTTTAGGGAGCATCCTTCTGAAAGGTTTTCCTTGAGTTTCCAGGCTATGCTAGGTGACTCTCCACTATGGTCTCATGGTGATGAATGAGCTCTTATAGAGAAAGTCTAATCACACCGCTCCTCTGCTCAAGATACATCAAAGGCCCCTATTTTACTCAGAGTGAACATCAAAACGTTTATAATGGCCTAATGTACCCTATAGAATCTGCCCCCTTTTCCTCATTACCCTCATTTTTTACTACTCTCTTCTTTTCTCTAAGCTTAAGCATGCTACCCCTTTTGTGCCATGGCAATAGCTGGGATGCTCTCCCTAGATAGCCACATGACTAACGCCCTTGTCACCTTCAAACCTTTGCACAAATGTCCTTTTATCACTGAGGCATGCTAAGCCACCCTATTTTAAAATGCAATCTGCATCACTCCTCCCCACCTGCAGATTACTAATCTTCCTTTCTTTTCTCCATTTCTATAGCACTTATTCCCTCCTATCAAACTACACATTTTTATGACTCTTGTTTATTGTCTGTTTCTCCTTATGAGAATGTAAGCTCCACAGGGAAAGATATTTTTATCTGTTTTGTTTACTTGAATCCTCCAGGTGCCTACAGTGATGACTGGAACTTAATAGGTGCCCAGTAATGTGTTTGAAGAAATGAGCCCTGATTATATTGTGCTACAATTTCTTCCTTGTCTGCTTACCCACCACCAAACTGTACACTTTTTGAAGGCAGAGGATTTTACTATTATGTCTATTTACAATATCTTAGCACATTTCCTCATAATAGTGGGTTCATAATAAATGTTTACTAAGTGCATGTATTTATCTCTGACCTCCCTACTCCATAGTTTTGCAGGGTTTGTGATGACACCATGTAAAATCAGAATATAAATGCAACAATGTTGTTTTCTTAGTAGGGAAGCATCATTATAAACTATCACAGTATCTGGGATCTGCGGAGATGAGGACTCCAATACGGACCAATATGAATATTTCTCTTACAGAGTTTCTGCAAAGGTTAAGAAACCCCCAGAGTCCATGTGGCCTTTTCCTCTTCCTGTACCTATAACTGAAACATTTATTTTAATAAGCTAGAAACTAAAGGGAAGACTGAGAATTGTAGAGCTTGAAAAATAATATCTTGCCTTCTGTGACTTTTCTTTTTGTTTCCTTTCTCAGAGCTCTTCCTGCCATGATGCAGTGGGTCCGCACACAGAAGCCAGGAGAGAGTGGCATCAATATTGTCACTGCCGATTTTGTAGAACTTGGTGACTTTATCAGCACTGTCATAAAGCTCAACTATGTCTTTGATGAAGGAGAAGCCAACACTTGATAGCACCACTTGGAGTTTCCATGATTAAGATGGAGAAGGCTCATTGTATTAGGGCATATTATCTGTAAACAATCTGATCTTCCTATTTCACTGAGTCTCTGAAGGGAATAGGGCTGGTAGTGGGTGGGAAAGGGGGAAAAACTATTTCTTCAGTGATTACAATCATACTCTTCATTACTATAAATATTTCATTTCCCATTTGATGCGTGAAATCTACTTCTAGTGTTAGGAAGAAAAAAAAAAAAAAAGACCAGTAACTTTGTTTTTCAAAATTAGTCTTTGTAACATAGAACTTACATGTGTTTACTTGATTAGATTCTCTATTTCCATCCTACAGCTCCTACACTGTCTATATCCTGTAACCTTTCTGCTCCCTCTCTTGCTCACTCTTTTTAATCAGATGCTATATGGAAATCAAAACAATTGAATGCCCAACATTTTGTGTATTACATTGTTGTCTTAAAATGTACTTGTTTTGTGGGACTTGGTATAATACTCTATAGTCACCTGCAGTTGGGCAATCATAGCTAACTTTTGGTCATAGAAAATCTGCATCAAATCAGTTTCCATGCATCAGTAATATTGAAGGTCATAATCAGTGATTTTTGTTATATGAAAATAGTAGTGTTTCACAGTATTTCTATTTAAGGCAGCTATAAATATAGGATAAAAATATTTTTGGAGAACTGTGAATGCCAACTTCAGAGGGAATGATGATTGAGGGGTGAAAGAGATGGATGGCATTTTAATTTGGCAATCTCTTAAATAATATTTCCCTGCAAGTACCCAGTACATGGTAGGGTACAACTGTGATAAAATTGAAAACTCTGAAAAGAACTCTTTAAAAGGCCTTCTTAATGATGCTCTTGATGAAAGAAAAAAAAGAGAAGGAAGGAAGGAAGGAAGGAAGGAAGG